ACCAGTGCTTGACTCCGGGGGGTCTGAGATCATCTACAGCAGCAGATGATCTCATTGCTGCAAGTGTCACTGCCGGGGTCAATGCGCCAAACAAATAAATAATTTTAAAGTATTAATTGTGTCTTTGTTCTCTTCAGATTGAACTTAAAGAACACATATTATGCACTTGGGTTCACCCTTTTCCCTTAAACACAATCTAAACAAAGTCAGAAATATTGTCCTATATCACATGTACCATAGAACGAAACCAGAAAAAGGACTTTGTGTCTGCAGTTTAGTGCCTGGTTTGACAAAGGAAGCCCCAAGTTTGAGACACGGATGGGACTAAATCAGGCATGTCCAAACTCAGGCCCGGGGGCCAATTGCGGCCCTCAATGTCATTTTATGTGGCCCTTTGCCTCGCTAACCCAAAGTAGTAGTAAAACAGTAATGAAAATAATAATAGTAATAGTAGTCATAAAGTGCACCTTTACCTGTACCTTTACATTTCTCCATTTTGAGATCAATAAAGTTTATCTTATCTTACCGTAGTCTTTGAGATCATAAACACAAGTTCACTGTGTCATCCATCCAACTTCAGCTTAGCCAATATAGACCTTGTTCTAAAGCCCAGTACGTCTGGAATTCAACCGTTGATTTGTGAGCTGGTGAGATGGTAAACATGTGTCATTCATCCAACTTCATCTCTGTTGTGGATCATTTTAAAGCTCAGAAAAGCCCGATGCCAGTCAAGACAGTTTTTCAGTCTCTGATGTCAGCCCCTGGACTAGTCTGGGGACCTGAAGTGGCCTCTTACTAAAAAAATTTGGCACCCCTGGACTACATGAAAACTGAAAATGGAACAAGGGGGTAGGTAACATGAAACCGGTTTTCAGGTCTCCTCTAGATCCTGTGTCGTCCCCTGTGGCTACGGGCGGCTCTCTGCTCCTGGTGCAGACGGCTCCTTAGATGACGCTTTTTCAGCTGGTTGCATCTGAACCCTGCCAAGTCTCTCATCATAGTTTTACTGGTGTGTGTGTGTGTGTGTGTGTGTGTGTGTGTGTGTGTGTGTGTGTGTGTGTGTGTGTGTGTGTGTGTGTGTGTGTGTGAGTGTTCATGAGAGTGTGTGTGTGTGTGTGTGAGTGTTCATGTGTGTGTGTGTGTGTGTGTGTGTGTGTGAGTGTGAGTGTTCATGAGAGCGTGTGTGGTTTGGGGTGGGTCTGTTGGGTGGTCGGGGGGAGGGGTCATGGGCCGGCGGGATTGTTTTTAACCAAACTGTAAAGTACTTTGTGTTGCATCTTTTGTATGAAAAGCGCTTTATAGATAAAATTTGATTGATTGATTGATTGATGATCAAAAACTCTAAAATTACAAATCTGCGCAGTACATGTCCATTACAGTATCCAATTACAGCCCATTGCTTCTGTAAAAGTGATAACATTATTTGGAATTTGATGCTTTGTTATAAATAAAATATACCAATACAATAGACTACAAACATCCCTCTGTCTATCACATGAAAGTGACAGTTTGTGCCTCATTTCCTGGATATATATGATGTGAAAAACCACTGGAGGATGTGAGAAAGTCTTCATCTCTCTGTGTAAATACACTGAGCCCCGTTCTGCTCTGCACCGGAGCATTTAGTGTCATTCCACCTGTGTTTACTCTCCATCATAAAAGCCGTTTTGCCGAATCGCTTGCGTGTTCGGGTCGTGGACTGTTGTTAAAAACCAGAAAGAAAATTGAAATGTCGTTAAGAGATGATCCATGAGCCGCGGTCGCCCATATGTAACCCACGTAGTTTAGCACTGTAACCCACGTAGTTTAGCTTAGTTGTAATCCCGCGTGACCCACGCAGCCACCGGACGTGATGCTTTAACCTGGCGCTGCCCCCTGTCCTCCCCCCTCTCATGGTGCTGCACTCACTGTTGTGATGCTACTGCTGCTATTTGCTACTGCTACTATCCGCTGCTGCGACTGATCTGCCATGGATCTGCTGCAATAAATTCAGCTGAATCACCGCTGCTTTGCCTCGAGCTAGGACATCCCTCCTTCGCTCAGCGGTGAGTCCGTTTTACCCCATTTTACTCTGATACTTGTTAAGAGTTTGATACGAGCGAGCATTGAGTACTCCATTAGATGTACGCGCGGATATTAGCCGCTTTGCGGGCAGCACAAACGCCAGAGTGGAGTTTCAAATCCACGTAATGCAAATCGATTTACTGATTTATATTCTTTTGTTCCTGCCGGCTCTTAGGTTAGGCCTTTATTAAGTTAAGGACACCTTGTGTTGTTTAAATCCGTCCTGGATATAATTAGAACGAATGGTTTTGGCGTGTATACTTGGTTTGGCCATGACTGTTCTGCATTGACCCCATGGTGACGATCATGAGTGAGATCTTTTGATTAATATTTGAATTCGTTGCGCAACTTTTGATTTGATCGATATTTAGAACATAGCCACATCTTTACTTAAAGTGCACTTAATTAATTATGTGACTAATGAACTATGTTTCATAATGTATTATGTTTACAAACCCCATTGTAGATTGTTATATTTCTTCATTGTTATGTGTGTGTATAGAGCTTTGGGTTTTACTATGAGTCATAATTTGGGTTTTTTCCTTTGACCTCGTGTAGGTCAGGTTTTTTCACCCCTCCCTTTACCCCTCCTCGTGGACTATGATGGCGAGCTAAGAGCCCCCACCTCATGGTAGGAGATTGACGTCTATTTGTTTGTTCCTGATGTAAAAGAACTGGAGTCGTTGCTGGATTTACAAATAACTTTGGGATATTACAAACGTTTTGGATTTACAAAGAACTTTTGGATATTACAAATAACTTCCGGATAGTGAAACAATTCGACCAAACGGAACTTGTATAGAACTGTATAGAAAGAACTCATAGGACACGAGTTGCCTGTTTTGTTTTGTTTGTTTGTTTGGTTAACACATTCATTCGTTTCCTCATAGTTGTTTTGTTTTGAATCCTACATATTTGGTTATTTTTTTTCCCTCATTGTCATTGAGGGCACCTACCCATATAATAAGAATACATAATTCAAATCAACCATTTGCTTCTTTCCTTTTTCATTCACTCTATGGCTCCCCTCCGAGCCAGTTTTCTGGTCAGTTAAGCACTTGTTCCGCAGTCACCCGACCTAGCCCTAAAGAGCGTTACATTTGGCGAGCTAGCCAGGAGCTATAACGTGTGAATGAATGTTTAATTTGATATGAGATTCGGGAAAAAAAAATAATAATAGAAAAAAATATTAATAGGAAAAAATGGCAGACTTTGTTTCTAAGTCGGGATGTGATGTCTCCAAATCAGCACTAGTTACTGGCGCGTCTAACACAGACACTGACAGAGAAATAGTTGATTGCCTCCGTAGCTATGGAGAGATTAAACGTGTCATCACAGTTAGTGACAAGTCTAGTTCTTTTTATCAAAACCTGATCGTTGAGTATGTAGACCAAACATCAATGTCTTTACTACAACCATTACTGCCGTATACACACAAGTCGTTAGTCGCGGACCGCAGTTTTTACGTTACATCGCTTGCGTCCCAATACGAGGCAACGGTGAGTGACAGCACCTCAATTCCCTTATCCAACCCATCTTCAGATCCCGATACGGACTATCTTATGGACCTGAAGCGCATAGCCGATAGCTCTGGAAAACGCTTTGAGGATGTCCTGAAGTCTGTCATGGATCAAATCGGTAGCCATTTGGACAAGGCTGGAGCCAGAAGGAAGGATGATGTTCGATTGGCTGCCAAATACAAGGATGGAGAGGAAGATGGGGAGGAGGACGAAGAGGATGATTACAAGGAGGAAGGAGGAAGGACCATCGACATGCCATCCACAGCATGGCCGGATACAATGCAAAAGGCAGGGCCATTTCGAGGCTCCTTCCAATTTCCATCATCCTCCCAACAGCGGGCTCGAATCGGTCAAAGTTATCCAAAGGTAGCTGGTGAAAGGATCTCACTGTCTGGGGATGATCTTAACCCACAGGAAGTGCGAAGGGTCGTCGTGGAACATGTCGTTCGGAACAGCGATGTGGTCACGTCATCGTCTTTACGGCTCAGATCATTTTCCGGGAGAGTCCCAAAACCAAGCAGTGAAGTGGATTATGAGTCGTGGAGAAGCCAAATCGAACTGTTACAAGCTGACCCCAATCTTTCAGCCTTGCATGTCACTCGGCGTATAATGGAGAGTTTATTGTCCCCTGCCGCAGATTTAATCAAAGCTTTCGGGCCAAACGCACTACCCACAGGCGTACTTCGTGTGTTGGACTCGGCTTTCGATACAGTGCAGGATGGGGAGGAGCTCTTTGCTCAATTTCTGAATACGCTGCAGAACCCGGGTGAACAACCCTCGTCCTACCTTCAGAGATTGCATCTAACGCTAAGCACTGTTGTTAAAAGAGGCGGCATCACAGCAGTTGATCAGGACAAGCACCTGTTAAAACAGTTCTGTCGTGGATGCTGGGAAAACGGCGTAATCGTGAAATTACAACTTGAACAAAAGAAAGACAATCCCCCATCATTCGCTGAGTTGCTATTATCATTAAGAACAGAGGAAGACCGTCAGACAGTTAAAGACTCTTTAATGAAAAAGCACATCGGCTCCACAAAGCAACGAGCCAGTATTCAATCTCAAAGCGCTTGGTCTGGTGCTAGTCCGAGCACAGACACAAACCCAAGTGATGAACTGAAAGATTTAAAAAAACAAATTCAGAAGCTTCAAGAGCAGATGTCAATACTCTTGTCCCAAAAGGCATTATCCTCAAACCAGGGGCCACGACCTGACCTGTCAAAGCCAACCAGCTACACCCAATCATCAGTCAAGCCAAGACCCTGGTACTGTTTCAGGTGTGGTGAAGATGGGCATGTCTCGTCCTCTTGTACAAATAAGCCCAATCAAAGCCTCGTTGAACAAAACACCCGGGATGCTGCGGAGACCCAAAGTACCCGCAGATACATGCATCCGGCCAATCATGCTGCCCCGCGGCCTTCATTGGCTCACCGAGCCCTGGCCCACGTCAGCATACATGGAACTCCTATTCACATGTGCTCCTGGACGTGGGATCTCATGTAATCCACAATGACCCCACCGGTTTGACCTACCGACACGTGGTCGACACCACGAGCAAGACCCTTGAACTATCAGGGGGAATGGTCCGGGACGGGGCATAATGGTGAAGGCTGTGCCCGAGTATTGGCTACGTCGAACGCCATACATGTGACGGTTCCTCCGTCGGAACTCCTTTGGAACGTGAGACTGCACTGGAGACTTTGGCTGTTGGGGTTTTTGGGCTGGTAGGTGCCTGGATGCAAACACGCTTAACCCGCTGCTGTTGATCGGGTCCAACCCTTGGGTGTGGCAGGTCTGAAGCCGCTGGACGCTGGGCTCCATTCGACCATCCAGTCCTCCCGGTGGGGCGGGATACAGAGCCAGTATGAAAAGCATTGCCAGCGCCGGATGCAGAGCCATTTTTACCACCATACCCCCCTCCCGTGTGATTAGATCGTTGTTCTGCCCCACCCCGGATCCGACTTATAGCCAGGCAAAACCACAGTCCTGGCGAGCAAACTCACACCTCGGCTGTTAGAAGGATGAGGAAAGCTTGCGGTAATCTGCGCAGCCTTCCCTCACGTTACCCTTCCGGTGTGAGCCTCTTTGTTATAACGTTGTCATTGGTGACCTGCCCCAACATCGGCCTTTTCCCTGCCGGTTGGAAGTACCCAAACAGAGTCAGAACATCCCGTCGGTACCTCCAGCGCGAGCTGTTTTCGCTGAGATGTCAGTGCGTTCCATCTCACCCATTCTGACCCTAAACGCGCACTAGGGAAAGATCCGGAAATACCTGAGCCATCACTGAGTCCAATACAACGTTGGGGACCTCACCATTGTCGCCCCCAGGGGTAGACGGGACGGGAGTTGCCCAATGCTTACACCAGCCGATCATGAGCGTGGTTTAGCCACAGCACGAGCTCGACGTTGGACGGGGTCGGACAATGGGGGGAGACACCAGAATATAAGAAGTGCAGATCCGACACATTTTGAAGCAACGTCCGCAAGAAATACAAGAAAAAAAAACATAAAATAAAAATAACCCAGTCCATCCAATATATCTATTTATAAAACGGAATAAACCACAAAAAAACAAAAAAAAACGCATATGAGCCCCCCAAAAAGCAGACCCATACCATCCTCCAGTGATGTTGCCGCGGTGAGGAAACATACTACAGGAGAGCTGTTAGCATACGTGAGACATAAGAGACTCTGACTCACCGTTCGCGTCCCCAAGACGAGAGGTTGTTCGGAAAAAAACGGAAGCGTACGCTTATGTATCGATTACCGCAAACTAAACATGCAAACCATCAAGGCTGCATATGCCCTCCGAAGCTGGAGGACGCTTTTGCTACTCTTTCTGGATCGAATGGGAACCGGAGCTTGATCTGACAGAGGTGATCTTACCAGATTGAGCTGGATGGAGATAAGGATAAATCGAAGACCGCTTTGTGTGTTCCTCTCGGGTTCTCTGAATGCAATCGCATGCCGCAGGGAGTGACCAATGCGCCAAGCACATTTCAGCGATAGTATGGAAAAGTGCATGGGACAGTTGAATCTGAAAGGCGGGGTTGGTTCCATTGACGTCTTAAATAGTCTTTGCCCAACACTTGAGGAACACGAAGACCGGTTAATGAGAGCCCTGGAATAGGCTCAAAGACTTTGGCTTGAAGGTGCTAGTGAAAATGCGTGTTCTTCCAAACGTAGTGAAGTATTTGAGGCCACGTGGTGTCCCAAGACGGAGTGAGAAACGGCCCCGACAAACGTCTGCACTGAAGTCTTGATGTCCCCTACACCTATGAAAGAGCTCGGTCGTTTCTGGGATTAGCTGTGTACTCTCGGCGTTATTGTGCGAGGATATTTGCAACCCTTTGTAACCACCCATGCCTGACATACTGCTGGCACACCCAGGCCAAACGCACCTTAAACGACCAACCAAGCACCACGCAACTTAGAATCCAAGCGTACCCATAGGTGGACCTGGACCACTTTGCCCGCAAGCATTCGCGCACCCACAGTGCCAAGCTCAGCCTCTGCCCCCATACAAGCTTTTGCCGGACCCCACCACGCGTACGAGCAATCCCTGATGCAAGTTCAGCGGTTTGGGGCCGTTCTCTCTCAGTGAACCTCGAAGGGGACGAACCGTGTTGTGGCATAAGCCAGCAGAGGCCTGTCAGGGCGTAGACTCAAACTACCCGCACCACAAGCTGAGAGACCTTGCGCTTAACTGGGCTGTCACCGGAGACGCTACGCTGATTACCATCTATGGGCAAGCAATTTACAGTTGTTACAGACCAGCAACTCCGAGACATAACCATGTTCACATCCGCAAAATTGACGCTCCTCTTACAGGTGGCTACTGGCTTTATCCACTTTCAGCTTTAAGCTCATTTACAGATCTGGCCAGCAGCCTGCTGATGAGATGGCCATACCACCGCCGTCCCCATCTTTGTACGGTGCCTGATGCCCCCACTTCCCGTAAGACACGTGAACGGGTTCTCACGTTATCATCACCAGCCATCTTGACGGGGCCAGACAGTCATGACCTTGCCCAGAGACAGCGCTTAGAGACCGTCAACTAGTGTGCTCTTCAATGTTGACCCGGCTCTTGCCCTTGTCCACTCCTGACGACCACACCCCGATCGCCATCCTGCCCGCATATTCCGATGACGCTCAGTTGCACCTCGGTGGTCCCTTCGTTACTCTCCTGTGCTTCGCCGCCAAGCCGCGATCTGATCCAATCATACGGCTAGTGATTGCGCAGATAGGGCACGCGGGGCTCACCGCACCTTCTCTAGCGAGAAACCCCACCCCCGCACAGCCTTTCATAATGCGAGCCGTACCGAAAGACATTCCGAAACAACCTTCTCTGTGCGCACGGAGGCCGGTAGGGTCGTTTCGTTGTTTACCCCTAGGAGATTGCCGGAAGCCTGTCGCGAAGCTGTCCCTGTCCCGTACATGCCCAACATGGGCCATCTGGCCTAGCGCGGACATTAGATCTGGTCCCCCTCCCTCCCCTTCCCTCCTTTCCCCCCCTACCCCGGTCAGGTTCTTATTTGGCCCCAGCTGCTGCGGACTCCATAGAAAGATCAGAACTTGTGACGATTGTGAGACGCGATCAAACCTTACCCGCGCGGCTGGTCCTTATGTTACCATTAGGCACACCGGCCCTAGCGCTTGTATAGCCTGGCATTTAATAACTCAGGACGCCAGCACGTCGAGTGCAGGATTAACTAGTGCTCACTGTCCTATTCCCGCCGTTGCCGCTAGCCGTGTACACCCCCATCACGCCGCCCGCACTGTCGCCACGGTCTATGGGCGCATTTCATTGTCTATATATGCATCCCGGCAGCGTTGCACAGTAGCCAGGGCCCTGACTTTGCCTCACGGACCATAAAGGAGCTGTGAGGCCATGCTGGTCTCGAGAAGAGGTCTGCTCACACAACTCCTTCCAAACCACCCCAGGGGAAATCCTGTGCAGGTATAATCGTACCAGATGCAACCTGCTGGGGACCTTACGGGCTAACAAAGTCTACTTCCCCTGCTGGCGCGAGATTAGTAAAACCCCTGTACATGATAATAACTGCACTCAAATGCCGTGACAGGAACTTCAACATATGCGTTGATGTCGGTCGCCACCCTTTATTTCCGCTTACTGATGATTTAGCTTCGGACTACCTTTGAGGGACGTCGTTTCGCCGTCCCACCCAATATCGTTCCAGGATCTGAAGGACCATCAGAAGGCGAGCTCACCCAATGGCCAATGCGCATTCAGAAAAGGAGATGAGTCGCAACGACCGACCCAATTTTGAACGTCGCGTTTCTCCATCTGACCTGGCTGTAAGGTGAACGGGTGCTTGTAAGAACAAGTTCATGCTTGGAGGGAAACATGACGCTGGCTGACAAGAGGGGCGTCTGATGTCTAGTTGTGGTGACGAACGCTGGTGACCTCCCTGTGATTCCGGTAAACCCTGCATGTCGGGAGCAGCCTCTCCGCCCCCTGGCCCAGAGCTCTTCATGTTGCCAGTGGTTACATTCGGGTACTGACCAGCGTCTTCCTGCAGACTAACCAAAGGGGAAGCCCCATTCCATCTAGTTGGGTACTCGCACCCCGGGACTGTCGAGGCCGCTCAAACAAGCGGATGAGTATGATGGACGGAATACTTGCCCGACAGGTTGTTGGCCCTGTGAAACTTCACCCCTCACGGGTTAGGATCGACAAGCCCGCAATTCCCCTGCCAACTGGTGACCAGCTCCCGCGTCTCCATTGACCTTAGTCCCCCGTAACCCCACCGGTGGCTCCGTAAGCTATGGCCGAGCCTCCATGTTCCGTGCATTCACCTTCCCCAGAGGTTCCACCCGTCTGGATGCGGAGCCGGTGGCTTCGGAGCCAGGAGGATGCGGAGCAGGTGGATGAGGGCAGTGGAAGAGGAGCAGGAGGAAGAGGAGCAATTATTCGATTGCTTCAGAGGCGTGGTCCAGTGGAGCTTGAGGCGCGCGGGCCAGGACTCGGCGACCTTCAGGTGTGTGCCTTGCCGGACGTGATCGCATTGGCTTCTGCTTCGCCAGTGTCTGAAACTGGCCGTTACCGCTCTCCGGTGTGCTGTCTTCATTTGCCTGTTATGCCTGACAGTCGGACTGTGATCTCCTCCCCGACTGTCGCCACGCACAGCAGGCCGCCTGATCGCCCTCAGTACGACCCGCCTAGGGTAACCGCATGCTAAAGAGCATCAAACCCTGATTAATGGCTTATGAGTAAGCTTTCTCTAAGTCCTCGCACGAAGGGGGATGAAGGTAGATGTCTTCCACCCGCTCTCCAAAAGTCTGCGCCAGCCTGCCCCATGTCCGGGGACGTTCATGGATACAGTGGGGGCGGCTGTCACCCGTCGTTTAGACTGTACACCCACGTCGTTTCGCTTCGTAGAAATACCCCGCGTGACCCCGCAGCCCCCGGACGTGATGCTTTCACTGGCGTGCCCCTGTCCTCCCCCTCTCATGGAGTGCCCTCACTGTTGTGCTGCTACTGTGTAATGCTATGTACTAACGCAGCAGCGCTGATCTGCAAGGATCTGCTGCACTAAATTCAGCTGCATCACCGTGCTATGCTGAGCTCGTCCCTCCCACCTTCGCCTCAGCGGAGAGTCGTGTTCCCCCCTTTAACTCAGACTTGTTAAGAGATTGATACGAGCGCGCAAAGCGACCTCCCTTAGATGACCGCGCGGATATATAGCCGCTTTGCGGGCCGCACACACCGCCAGCGTGGAGGTATTCAAAACCCCGAACATAGAAAAACTCGCATACTGATTAATCAACTTTTGTTACCTGCGGATCTTAGGATAGGCCATTCATAAGAGCAGGGCACCAATAACACCCCACCCCCCCAAAGTAGTTAACAATCGTCCTGGCAATAATTAGACCGAATGGTTTTGGCGTG